AGTTCATATAATTAAAATAATAAAATATACTTATACTGATCTTGGTAAAATGTATAATGACTGGAACATAAAAATATGATAGGAATTTCAATGGTAAAATACATACATAAATATTATACAATTAGCTAAAGACAAACAAAATACAGAAACTTCCATTTTATGGGTAATTTTCTTTAGCTGGCATATATTTATTTAGTCATTGCTTAACTAAAGAAAAGTATCCAAAAATAAAAGTTACATATTGTTTAAAATCTCTATTGCTAAATTTATTATTCTTTCTTAGATAAATCTTGTTCATGAAGAATAAGAAATACAATTTAAATTCCTTTGTACAATATCCTATGATTAAACATTCATCTTATTCAAAATGTTGTATTATGCATTTGGAAAATATAATTTTCATATAACATACTAAATAGGTACTCAGTAATACAACTATACAAACACTATAAACATTATAAAATAATACAATTTTTGATTTTAATTTTCAATTGTTATACATCAATTTTAAAATAGATAACTGTCAAAGCAATCGGTAAATACAAAATGTTCATCATTTTTTTATATAATTTCACGTACTGAAATTTACAAACAACTAAAGTATATGTAAAATTTTATTTTTAAACTAATTCAAAATAGAAAATACCATACACGACGATTATAAGAACCTTGAACAATAATAGTTTAATTATTTCATCGATCAAAATATATAATAATATATATGTTACACATAACAATAATATAAAATTACTATATTATGCACCGTCGGGTGCAGCAGACAGCAGATGAGATTAAAATTCTGGTCGTAAGGAATATGCACCACACAAACCTCTCTAGAACCGAATTTGTCGCCGTTTTTCAAACAAATTCGGATCTACAGGGTAGATGTAGAGCATCACTACACCGAAGACGGACGGCTTCCAAAAACCACCGTGTGACGATAACGATGGCAGTGATGGTGGTGGCCCTTCACAACTCAGACGGCATTCTGGAACAATATAATAACACCAGACATTGACATTGAAACGAAATAAAGAGAATAAAAAAAAAATTTAAAAACAAAAAAATCGCTGAAAAACTAACTCGACGGCGGAGTTTTCTAAAACAAAGCTGTTCGTAATGCGTTTGCTTCTGTTGTACTAGTGGCATATTCACATGATTACGAACCGACCGCTCCGCGTGATTTGCAGTTCGTAACACACGCACTGAGTATTAGTCATCGCATCAACATCCCCTTTCTGTACACACGACTACGTGTCAACGAACTCTCTCCCTTCGCCCCGAATACACGCACACAATAAAAGGGTCGCAAACACACGGAAGGGTCCGCGAATTTATTTTTCTTCTCTCTTTTTTCCGTATTATAAATCCATTTCTTTTTCGTACGCGTGCACAGTCACACGTATTTTCGTCATCGACAAACCGTTTTTAAAAAAAAAAATAAAAAGCACAGTGCGCGTACATTACACGCGCACGTAAGTGTATACACTAGCGTACACACAAATATATATATATACATATATGTGTATATATACATACATATAAACACACACACACACACACACACACACACACACATACACACACACACACACACACACATATATATATACATATGTGTGTGTGTGTGTGTTTATATGTATGTATATATACACATTATAATAATAACAATAGCGTATACGCATACACATACGTACGAACGACCGCCGCCCGACACACCCCTACGCCCCCGCACCCTTCTCCACTACCACCAAGACCACTACGTCCGCGTGGGGTGACTCGTGGCGTACGATCAATACTTAGCGCGGGGTGAAGAGGCGTGGGCGGTGGTGTCGCGAGGTGGTGGTGGTGGCGAGCACGAGCGCCGCTGAATGCAAATTATTCCGTGCCCGGCGAACGTTTCCCCACTACCACACCCTGCTCACGGTTCGCTTGCGTACCTGCGATGCGCCTAATCTGCATGAACGCACGCGATCTGTACCTTTATTAACCGCCTCCGCCACACGTCCCCGTTAAAACGAATGGCTACAAAGTGGGACGGAAGAGAGGACAATCAAAGTCGACTCGTTTAAAACATAATATACATAACACACAATTTGTACACTTCAACGTATCGCACGCACCATCTGCGCACCCAAAGGATATACTATTGACTAGTGGTTGGCTATGCGAATCCGACGGGGTGCTTATGTCCCATATGAATCGACAACAACATTGTACAACAGTACACCAAAAGTTCGTAGATCACGAATACGCTATTGAGTTTGTCGAATTAATAATTTTTAATAGAGTACAATTAATCCGACGGGGTGCTAATGTCCCATATGAATCGACAACAACATTGTACAACAGTACACCAAAAGTTCGTAGATCACGAATACGCTATTGAGTTTGTCGAATTAATAATTTTTAATAGAGTACAGTTTTTAAGAAATTAAAATCAACGAGAGTGTCAAAGAAATGTTCATCTAAGCTCGTGATGACGAATATATTATCGTATAGCTAATTCATATTTTCAAGTCACGTAAAATATGTGCGCTTAAAAAATAAAACGACAGTAAAAATAACAAAAACAATTATAAATTGTAAATTATAAATAATAATGATGAATAATAAATCATAAAATTATAAATTTACGAATTAGTAATGACGAGACCAAATTATATCCGTGTAAAAATTAGAAAATTCGAATAATTATTCTTAAAAAAAAAAAAACAATCACTAACGAAAAAAAAAAAAATTAAAAACTTATTATAATTATTAAATAAATGTTACAGTATATCGTGTTTATGCTTACCATGGGTAGCCACGCAATGGAATAGTGCGGGACCGGACTAGTGGTTCGACGACAGCAAAAGCGACAGTGGAGCGGCGTGCAAGGGGTGTGAGTCATCACTGAGCGGCGACGAAGCAGCGCGCCGACCACCGCAAGACGAGTGGTGCGCCGGCTGTGCTGTGCCGAGTGAAGTGAACAGCCGTCTTGTCCGTCGGGAGTCTTTCGCCAGAGTATCGCACGTCGGGCGTCGGTTTTTCGGGGTTGCTCGACGCGCGGCGATCCCGGCGAGCTGTATCGATCGGGGCGGCGGCGCGCCCTTTTCGGTAGGCGCGTGGACGTGGGACACGGCTGGAGGGCGGGTCGACAGGGGCGCAGCCTGGCGGCCTCGCGCAAGGTTCATACGCAGACTCCCACCACCGCTATCACCGCCAGCCGTGCACGCGGGATTTTGCGGGCGCGCGCGACCCTTCCGAAATCATCCCTCTGAAATCCTTTCCCTCGTCCAGCCTCCCCGTCCCCGTCCACCACCTACCTCGGCGTTGTCTTCGCATTTCTCATCCGTCCACAGCGCACCCCGTCCCATTACACGTCCCCTCACCGTCGTTGTGTACACCACCGCACGCACACGCACCCAATAGTTCGCTCACTTGTATTCACCCGTCCGAATTCGATCACCCCACCATTACCGTCGCCACCGCGGTCATCTGACCCTCTTCGCGCTCGTATTTATGCAAAGCTCATAAATTACTTCTTCTTCTTCTCCTATACATTAGCACTATTACTCCTCGCCGGCCCATCAGCTTACGCAGCAGCCGCGCGTATCCCATTCAAACCCCTTAAACCCACAAACACATACGCGTGTGCGTATATTTTCGAAACGCTCGGTAACGTCGACGAGAAGCGGGCGGGTGGTAAAGAAATTTGTTGTCGTTGCAGCCGGGGTATAGTATAGGGTTTTTAAGATGGTAACTCTCTCTCTCTCTTTAGTCCTTCTCTGCATAACGAGCGCTTAAAAAAAAGACAAAATACACGCTCACACATTATTTACATGTACACCTACGTATACGAATATTTTAAGCATACGGTTTTCATTTCGTTTTTTGTGGGTTCACTAATTGCCTTGATGCAATCAAGAATCTGAAAGCAACTTTTAATGTCACCGTAGACAGGATAGTTCGTATAGTCGGATAAGATCGTTTCGTACGTCATAGCTCTACACAGTGTTTTTTTGTTCATGACTTCTGATACCCCTGAACCAGGGGCGGATCCAGACCAAGATAACGGAGGGGGGATTTTTAACGGATACACATGATATAAATATTTATATAGATAAAATTAAAAATATTAATTTTAATATAGGTTATTTATTTAAATAAAGTCTTAAAAAAAAAAAATTACAGAGTAATAATAATATTTTTTTTTAGTTATATCAATATGTATCATAACAATAGAGTTTAAAATTACAAATTTGTTGATTATGGAGGTACCGAACGATTTTTACGTAGTTCGTTATCAGTTATCACGTTTCGGAAACACCGAAACATCATGTTAATAGTATATAACTGTGATATCAGTATATCACCAAATAATAAGCATAGTATCAGCACAAGTTTGGTAAAAAAAAATAGTTTAAGATTTCCTTATTTACCCTTGAAGTAATTACGTCACAAACTAAAGTCTGCTACGGTGAACGGAGAGGGCGATCGCCCCATTCGCCCCCCTCTGGATCCGTCCCTGCCCTGCACGAGTATTACAACACGTAAGAATGTATTCGTATTGGATACAATCGCATACCTGTAGTATCTGCTCGAAAGTACATGCGTATATAATAATGATATAATTTGTTATTTTTACGTGAATTTTGTCGCGAATGGTTTTCGCTTGTCAAGTAGCCCTTATAAGGGATTTTTTGCCGGAAATACCAGGAGGTTTAATGACGTTTGGCTATCGGTTTGATGCTATTTCGTTTCGTGTGTCCATCATAGAATTCATAGTAATGTGACTTTGAAGTTTATGCTAGGAACACTCTACTTACAGGAGAGACTTCGAGAAAGTATAGCATCATTCCCCCCAAAGTATCTAAAAAAACATTCAAAGTATCTAGGAGTCAAGTTATACAGATCCCTCACATTCCGGCAACACCTAAAGGACGTTAAAAACCAGATCAAAACTAGAATCAATATCATACAGAAACTTAGTCGGGACCAGTTTGGGTGCGGACACAATGGTTCTACGCAGCTCTGGTATCGCGTTAGTTTACAGCGTGGCAGAGTACTGCGCAACCGTATGGGTGAAAAGTGTCCACTGTACAAAAGTGGATACTCAACTCAACCAAGTTATGCGGATAATTTCAGGGACAATTAAGCCAACACAAACACAATGGCTCCTTGTCCTCGCTAACATTACCCATCCAGACCTACGTAGAAACGAGTGTATCAACCGTATTTTAAACTTCGAAAAAATAAACCAACATCTTCCCCTATTCAAAGACATCATAGAGCATTCACCAAAGATGTTGAAATCCAGACACCCTATATGGGAACCGATGACCCAGTTGTGCTCGAGTTACGAAATCTGAAAAGAGCGGTGGAAAGAATCAGAGGTATGAAATTGCTCCCTGATAAGTAATCCAGAAATTCGAGTTCCTGGTTTCGAGCTTCTCAGGAGACTTTGGACAACTCTTAACAAAATAAGAACTGAACAGGGCAAATGCGGCTATAATCTCTTTAAATGGGGAATGAGTGAGTTTCCGTACTGCAAATGTGGTAATTTACAAACAGTTCGCCATATTGTAGATTCTTGTCCTTGGACAAAATTTGCTGATGGTATCGAAAAACTCTACAAAGTGGAACAGGAAACTATCAAATGGATGAAAAGTCTAGAATTTCAGTTATAAAATAGTCATAACACCTTACACAGTTACCTGGTTCATGTTACTTTGTTATTTAATTATTTAATGTTGTTTACTAGCTATACTGTTTATTTATATATTTATTAATTTATTTTTGTTTATGTTATTTAATCATTTCACATTTAATTATCTACTTTACCCTATTTATTCTAATTTGTTCCTATATATTGTATACCTTAAATACTACCCACGCCGGGATACTATGTCATAGGTATGCAATAATAATAATGATATAATGTTTACTGCGGTTTTATTTCTGATTAAAATTCGAATACCGCGAGGAGTGGCACCGGGACGTGATAAAAATATAATCCTAAACTTTTTTTAATAAAATGCGATACAACCGCGGAGAGTTTTGATAGAACGAGCGCTTCCCCGCAGTATGGCATTTGGCTGCCTTATCATAAAAGAACGTTATCATAGTTTTATAAATTCTTTACATTTGATGAATATAAATTATATTTTATCCTAATGTATATGATAGGTAGGTAGTAGAGCAAATGAATAGTTGTAATGGAGACTGGAGTTATTAAATATAATTATTTTATTACATATTAATTACTAGAAAAATGTAGTTATTTTTTTACAAGAATGGAATTAAAGGTCTTAACTCTTAATATAGTATATAACCTAATAATACCATATTTTATCATTTTACTCTTCTCTTTGTAATTTTAGTTTTCTTTTGGCACATCCACTGAGAGGTGTCATTTTAAAATTAATTTAAATATTAAATATATAAGATAAAATGTATAAATACTATAAATTGTACAAATATTAACGCAGGTGACGTTAGTATAAGTGCGGCGTGTGCTGAATGTGAATGTAAGTACCCAATCGGAGACCATAATATAATTCTATATTTCTATATGAATCAATATAATGACAATACCCTCGCTCAAAGTATTTTAAAAATAGACATACAAGTATACAGTAGTCACTGTCTAGATATGATAAGAACAACTTTACATTGTAGTATAGTACCGGTATTTAGCTATAAATAGCAATTATTTCCTAATCGATCGTTTAAATTTAGTTACAAGTTACATTACTTAGATTATAATTAAAACTCAATGTATTTGGTTTTATTTGCGTCATATTTAGGCAATATTAAAAATTTGGTAAAAATCAAAAGCAATTATATAATAATGAGCTCCTCTCAATACTTTAAGTGAGCCGGCCTAAGGCTGGACACATATTAGAGTGGGCCAGGCACACCCTGGCCCTCCTTTGGCTACGTGTCTGCCTACCTACCATATACATTAGGACATAATATAATTTATATTCATCAAATGTAAAGAATTTATAAAACTATACATTATAATATACCTAATAGTATATTAATATATACCTTTTAAATCAAAAGAGATCTTCTAGCTCCTACATTTTACATTTTACAATTTGAAGTTATGATAACGTTCTTTTATGATAAGCCAGCCAAATGCCTTACTGCGGGGAAGCGCTCGTTTGATAGATATACGGTTACGCGGCGTAAAATATATTAATATGTATAATATGCATTGTATGTGCTATATATATAGCGGTGACGAGAAAAAAAAAGCCTTTTGGAACAAGGGCGTATTTGAGGGGGGGGGAGAATGGGGCATTCGTCCCTCCCATGATTCGTTGTTTTTTTGAATATAATACATTGATTTATTTAAAAAATGTAATGTATAAAAAATTAAGAATATAAATTACTAGTCTATCAATATAATGTTATCATTATAACAGAAACATGAGCTGTAGGATGAAACTGATATATACTATAAGTTATAATAGGTTATAAGTTATAAGCTATACGTTATACTATAAGTTATATACTATGTTTACTATATTATATATATATATAAACTGATATAAACTGAAAATGAACTGTAAATTATTTTTAAGTTTGTATTGAAGAAAAATTACTTTCGTCCCCCTCCATGGCCTCAACTCAAATACGCCCTTGTTTTGGAAACGATTTTAAAACTGAACGCACGTCGAAGTGTAGCGATGACGGAGAAACCTTCATTGTTAGGCTGTCGGCATAAAACCACGCGCGTTATCTTATTTACTCGCCTCGTGTGAAAATCGTGTATCCTATGCCGTTATTACACGAACTCGTACTTATATCGAATACAAATTAATTACTATACCCATTGTACACGTTTACATTACACGACATTCGATCATCGTTTTTAATTAAACTTTTCATATTCAATTAAACGGACAGATGGAATGAAAAATGTATAATTAATATTTCTGTTTGTGATTAAGTATAGTGCATTATAGCAGTGTTTCCCAACTTCTTTTACCCGCGGAACCTTAGTAGGAGATTGAACGTTTTTTGGAACCCCAATATTTTTTCTATAATATTAATACAGACATATGTTTTGTATACTTAAATGAGTGGGTTACCGTACACTTCCGGCACAAGAGTGTCATTAATATAAAAAAAACAAAACGGCTTTAAAATTTTATTTTGTTTATTACTATTACAATATTATAAATGTACTCGTACATATCAAAGCTTAAAATTTAATATTTATCTCTCATTACCTCTAAGATAGATTCAATGAGAAGATTGGAATCTTTTCATAACTGTTTTTAAATTTAGAGTTATTCCTGAAAGTTGGATTCGTAAGTCCGGAGTCGCGTTCAGTTGATTTTGAAACTTAATCTTTGTGTACGCCGAAAAGCTACAAACTAAGCACCACACATCGGGAAATGTGTCAATTCCAGTTCTATATTGAGTTCTATGTTCAAATAAAAATATTGCTAATTAATTTATATTTTCCCAAATTTCTCACGGAACCCTTCGCTCAAGCTCACGGAACCCTTAGGTTCTGCGGAACACCAGTTGGGAAACACTGCATTATAGTATAGTGTATATAAGTATTATTATGCAATATACATTGCAACAATAAAACATCGAAGTTTATTTTAATAGATTTATAAGTGGTTACCTAACACAATACATAGTACTTTAATGTAGGTATTGATAAATAATTATGAACTACGATTTTGATGATTATTACACATATTATGTTCACATGCGTTGGCTATTTATCAAATTATTTTTGCTTTAAAGTGTATGCAATATACTACATTGTATGTTTCAGTAGTCACCAAATATTTTATGGACAATTCACTTTTTTCATAATTTAATTTAAAAAAACACGAATATAGTGTTAATACTATATTTGTGTTTTTAAACGATTTAAATTGAATTATGATAAAAGTGTATTGTCCATAAATATTTAGTGGCTGCTGAAACATATAATGTATTATATTACATACAGTTTAAATTAATATGATTAAGTATCTGATTATTTTCACAAAAATTAATTTTTTAAATTATGTTTCCATACAGTACTAAATTATAAATATAGATTATGAGAACATGAAGTATATCTTGTTTAAAAAATATCTGAGAAATTTTTAATAAAAGTATTCACTTAGCACAATATTACATAAGTGAAAACTTAACAAAAAAAATCATATTTTCTAGTTATAAAATACAATAAATAATAAATTTTAATTTAATTTTAATCGATTGACTATTTTTTTATCATTTCAAATAAAATATTCTTGTAAAGTTATATATAAAAACTACTATAAAGACGTTAAAATAAGTCTAAATTTAAAATGTAAAAAGGGGAAGGTTTAATTAAGACAACTTTTGTACAGACTTTTTTCATATCTGACTTATGCTTTGTAATAATCTAAACAAACTTGTTTAATTTTACACTTAAATTTCAGAGAAATGTTGGTGATACTGCAAACTAACTTATTCTTTAAGATATTAAAGCAATATAATTTAATTTTTTACTAAAAACATTTTTAATAAGCCACTCTTCAAATAGTGTTATATTTTTGTTGCAAAAATATATTTGACTTTTATTTTCAACATTAAAAAACTGCTATGTACAAGTACCTACATAGGATAGATATATAAATTGATACATTTTTCAATTAAAATATCTCACATTTATTATGTATATATTATTTTGAACAAAAAAAAAAAATTGTACCATTATATTAATTTATAATAATAATAGTATTTGCAAAAAAAAATAATAAATAATAATAATCAATGTGACAAATATACAAAGTACATCATTTTATTATACATTTAGAAAAAAAATAAAAAAAAAAAATTTCATAATGCTATATTTAAAATTAATATAAATAAAACGTAAAAATAATTACATATTTAATAATAATATATATTTAAGAATATAATTACATATTCAATAAAAGTTTAAATGGTACTGTTTTTATAAATTAAATGATAGAAATTTGTCTATTTTTATATGTATTTAATTATTGACTAATAAATAATATTTGTTTGTGTGTCATCTTTGATAATATTCCTGTATTTCTAATTTTAATATAAATGTCACATTGAAAATTCTTTAGGACTTCAATCAATTGAAAAACATGGGGATGGCTTGAATAGAACATTAAATTGAATTTGGAATGAAATGCTTCACAACTGTTACTTATGTAGACGTATATCAAATATCAATTTTCGTCGGGACACAATTCGTGTATCCCTCTTTTTTCGCCAGGATACAACTCGAATACCAGTAAATTCGTCGGGACATAACTCATTAACTGCGAATGTATTCAGTATAGTAAAATTGATAGTTATAAGTGTGTATCAAATATATACGTATACGTTTAATAACATACAATAAATTATATGTACCTAATAGTTCTATAACAAAGACTCAAAACTAAAAATGATTAAAATTTTTAATATAAATTGTATGTAAAAATATGTATTATTATAGCATTATAATTCATAAGTCTATTAAATTATTTAATAATTTTATAAAATATTATAATATAGTTTGTAATAGTTTATAAGGAATATGAAGTTTTGTAAAGTTTGAAAAAATGATATATAGAATATATAAAAAGTATATTGTTAAACAAGTAAATTAATATACTTTTGCTTACAAACTATAGATGTATATTATTATTTATATATATAGCAGCTTCCCATTAAGTTAGTACAAAATCGTTCCTTCTCATTTATCATCTATTCATTATCAAAATTGAATATCCTCACCATAATTTATTCTTTCTCTATTCTATGTTTAATGCTTGCCCTTCGTGAAACTGATACATACTGTTCTTTTATTCCAGGGGTCGGTAACCCGCGGCCCGCGAAACAATTTTTTATGGCCCGCACAAAGGTGGATAATTTTTGTGTTTTATTTTTGTTCAATAAAATTTTTCATACAATTTTTAATACTATTCAATTCTTTTTTCTGTATAAATAAAATCTAATCTAATCGTTAATAGTTGATGTTTATTCTATATTGTTATATAGTCAGTTTAATCTATGAAATTGTTATTATTATCTAATCGGAGTCGAAGATAATGATGGCTACACTACTCAGTCATAGGATAAATTAAATATACTTATATATATTTAAAAATTAAAATTTTAAATATATTTAATCTATGTACTTAGTACATATGTGTCTAATATATTTAATCTATGGTCATAGTTACTTTGCGTTTGTAGTAATTAGTATTACGCCCGTACGTGTGACTGCGTTTGTAATAGTTTCATTTTACAAGTAAATCCAAACATTATGGCGACTAAAAAAAAGAAAAATTTGTGATGAACATCGTTTTTTTAATAATTCTTGAGTTGATTTATACTTTTTCGTCGAAAACAAAGGTAAGTCATTATGTATAATTTGTCAAAAAATTTAATTTTTTCTTAAAAGCAATTTTTTCCAGTAACATTCGTATTTATTACATTCATATTTCTATGTAAAATAATCAAATATAATAGCAATACAATTATTAGTTTATAATATATATGTATGATATTATCATATGTAAAAAAAAATTTTTTAATGTGGCCCTTGATAAACATTTAAAAAAAAAATATGACCCGCGTGGTTCAAAAGGTTGCCAACCCCTGCTTTATTCCATTTCTACATTTACTGGTTTTATATAAAGAAAGGTATACACGAGACGTGAGCCACGATCGTGTTTAACGATCTTGTGAATTGTGGCTCACGAGCGTGGTTTCGAAAAGCATCACACGAATCGTGAAGGTGTTCTCTCGTGAATGCAATTATCGCTCAGTAAGATGGAATCGTTAGTGGCGGAACCATGTGTTAAACGGCTAAAAAAACGATTAACAGAAATTGACAAATTGATGTTAAAAATAAGAAGGAAAAGATGGTGGGCAAGGCAGTGGATTCAAGGACGGAATAATAATGGTGGCTCTACGTTTATTCAACGTCGTATTCGAGGGGGGGGGGGCTAAGGGGGCATTCGCCCCCCCATGGCTCGTATTTTTGTTGAATATAATACACTGATTTACTTAAAAAATGTAATGTATAAATAATTAAGAATATAAATTACTAGTCTATCATTATATGATATCATTGTAACAGAAACATGACCTGTAGGTAATGAACTGTAAATTATTTTTAAGTTTGTATTGAAGAAAAATTAGTTTCGCCCCTCTCATGGCCTCAACACACATACGCCCTTGCGTTTATTTACCGTAAATTACCAAATTTACCAAATTGAAATCCGGAAGATTTAAAAAACATTTTTAGAATGTCAGATACATACTTAGACTTTTTATCAAATAAAATTCAATTTAAGATACAAAAATTTAATACAACACGCAAGAAGCTAAAAAATAGCATAATAATTTAATTTAAAAATCTATTATATTTACTTATGTATAATATATAATAGTAATATACATATTATATGTAACAGTTAATATTTTACAAACAAATATGTATTCTATTGTACCCACGACTGAGCTTTTACGACTGAAATATCTAACATGGTTTAATAAAGTCTTTAGTAGTGATAACTATGATAGCTCAAAAACATAGGGGTGGTAAAAGAAATTTTTATAATATGTTTGAAAAGACAGTTTTCAAAATATTCAGAATATTAATACAAAAGAAACCATAAGATACAGAGATATAAAATCTTGCATTTTTACTTGCAAATTTTTCGAAAAATAAAACATAGATAACCGATTTAAAGTACAAAAGATGGCATATCTGTTTTGTTAGATAAAATGTAGTCGAGGAACCGAACGGAGTAACATTTTGTTCATTTCAATGCGTAACGGAAAAAAGATTGTCAAAATGACAGTATTTTTATAAAAATATTTTGATTTGAGTGTCCTCTTTATTTACAAACCATTTCGGTTGAAGTGTTATTTTACTCAATTGTCGTTTGTTCACTGCCAGCAACCCGAAAAGATTGACAGCTTCTGTTTCCTCTCTGCGCGACCGAATCGTGACAGGTAGGTCAGATGGCAATGTATGTATAGTACAGTGAAGGTTTTAAATTGCACCAATTAGGTATCCACGCGCCTATAGGTTGTACGATCGTTTACAATGCAAATGTGTAGAAGGCGTATGGAAACGGATAAAAATAAACGAAAGTGCCAATCCCGTGTAATAATATTGTGGTACCGAGAAATTAACACCATTATGGGGTATCGGTGCACATTCTCTGACGGCAATATACCGACGGGTCCGTCGAGTATTTATTAATGCGAGCGCGTGACTGATTTTAATCGATAGTTCGGAAATTGAATTTGAAACGAGTGCGCAGCGATTGGTTATTTATTGCGAAGTTTCTGAAATATCGTCTGTATATTTACAGTGAGCTCTGGAAAGTTTCGGCGAAAAGTTGTTTACTTTACGCCTCATCAGGTCTTTACGTGTTAAACGGTTTATCCACCACACACACACACATCCATACACACATGCCTTTATGCACAATATACTATATACCATGGTATAAACTCTACACGCATATTCTGCAACATAATATACTATATATATATATATATATATATATATATAATGAAATAATTTCCATGATTTATTATTAAGTAGGGCAAATGGAAGATCTTGATTAACAAAATTTGATACGAGAATTTGATAAATCATGGAAATTATTTCAACGATTTAAAATATCTTTTAACTTTTTACGAGAAGATCCAAGCACATGGAAAGCCTTGGATGAGTATATACAAGCTAAAGAAATATTATCTGCACTAAAAGTCGTTAACGATACAGCTGAACGTGGAGTAAAATTGATGGAGGAATATAATGAAAAATTCACTAAAAATGAAGATGAAAAACAATTTATTTTACAAGTATGAAATATTTATATAATCTTGTGATATTTTACCTATATCAAATAATATAAATACATGTAACTTTTTTAGGTTGTTCGAGAATATCGCCAACAATATCCAGGGTTTAGCCGTGAGATTTCAAAGAAAACTTATGCCTATTAATAATACATAATTAATATTATTTTTTAATATTTAATGAATAAACTTAAAATTAAATTTGATTAATATATTGTGTAACATGAATACAATATTTAAAAAATTAACATATTTAAATAAATAAAAAATTGTAAAAACCTATATTCTTAAGGTTTTTCTTGATTATTTACAAAAAGGTTAATGTACCAAAAAAAATGAAAACTTATTTTTTATAGATAATATTGTGTGGAATAATATTGCTAATTTACAATTTTTGTGTAGCTATAAAATTTAAGGAAATACAGATAAATAACTAAAAAACCATTTTCCAAAAATATTGACTTTGACTGGTTTTTCTTAATTTTACGAAAAAGTATTAATTTTACAAAAAATTTACAAGATACCTTTTTTGTAGTAAATATTCATTACTATAAAAATAGTCCTATACATGTATGGTCTAAATTTAGAATTTAAGACATTACAGGTGAAAATGTATAATTCACCCCTTTATCATATAACTTCAACCCCTTTGAGGCACGTGAAGGGGTTGACTTATCAAATTCAAATTTTACCAAAATTATCTTGTCAATATACCAAACAAAATTTCGAGCCCATGAGTGTAAATTTTTCAATTTTTTTTTAACCTCTATAACTAAGGACCACCCTAATATATATATAATACAGTATTATACGCAGCGTGCCTGTGTACGAGTAGAGGTCATTCGAGTTGCGTAGGTATTGCACAAAAGTCGTAAGAAGCTGCGAGTGTGCGCGATTCGAGGCGCAGGATGAAATCGCCGACCGTTTCGTGATGTAAACATTTAAGAAAATGACTTTCGCTCTGAACGCGATTCGCACACGTAACACACGAGTATATACGTAATAATGCAACCGATTGTCCAACGGTATTGCGATTTATCGCATGCTACGTAAACTAGTTTGATTTATTGTGGTCACTTTTTTCCACCACTAACGATTTTGTTATTTCTCACCTATACGGCTACTGCTATGATGTACGGCGTGGGTAAACACACAACGAACCAGGCATGTACCTACTTATACACGGATATAATGATGTATTGTAACTACTCATTGTAATAGTTTGGTGTAACGTAGTTTCTATATACTAACTTATAACTTTTAAACTATCGCGCTATACGCACAAGCTCAAAGCTCTTGGAATTCGAGAAAAACATTTTCTCCTCGCTATAGTTCAAAATTATTTTCCATATACACACCCACATTAGTAGAGAATACTATATATTTTATACTTTTAAATATATATATGTATATATACAGTGGCGTAGATACAATTTTTTTTCTGTGGGGGGGGGGTTAAAGAGTAAATTCGAAATATTCTTAGTTTATCTTAATACGAGGTCCTATATAATAATATTACATTTAAAATTATATTATTATTATATTCCGTACCTTATAAAAATTATTTTGTTACTCAATTTTTAATATATACCTAATCATAGGGAAATGAAAATATCATTTTACTATATAAGTAGTATATAAATATTAATAAATAATAATAATATGTCATTAAAAAAAATCTAGGGGTGTGGAAACCCCTTAAACCCCTCCTAAACCACTGTATATATATATATATATATATATAATTCATACACAAATTATAAATGTATTATTAAGTAAATATATGTTTTCTATCTGATTTTTCAAAATTGAAATACAGAAAATATTCAATACGCATTAATTACGTATGATGCGTAATCATAATATGATTACTATATTACTATATTATAATCATATAAATCATATATAATATACTAGACAGCGTAAAGTATAGGTGATAATATTATGTGCAGTGCGCGCGCATATGACTGTGTAATATTCGTTGACTCTTCAGTATTATTTTTAAACAAAATACATTGAATATGTTCAACGGTATATAATATATATTTAAACATATATTCGCGAACGGTTTTGTTGCAGAAGTTAAAAAATCGTTGTTGTACAAGCGACAGAGTGTACGCTGTGTAATTCACAGTGAATCACCACCGCATTTGCGCGTTTCGGGTTTTAGAATTCTCGCTCACGACGCTGACGCCGTACAGTCATCCCTTTATGTTCCGAAATACACGCAACGAGGATATTATGTACGTGAGCGTCGTACGAAATGCCATCGCCGGGCTTGATGCTGCGGCGGCGAGAGAGTTAATGTTTGGATAGACGGTAGTGCAGCAGTTATACATATGTGTGTGTGTGTGTGTGTTGTAGTGAGAACGAGAGGGGAATGGTGCGGATCAGGGAATGCAAATTTTTCAACGGTATAAATCATCCACAAAGGGTTTACAATAGTTTAAATCGTGCGCGTGCGCGTTGCGAGTGTTCGAATAACCAATTATAATGTGGGATTTAAGTAATAAAAATCACTCACAATTTAATTTAATTAAAATAGACACTACATTATATAAATATGTATATACAAATATCGATACGCGTTACAATTGCGGAGGAATTGTCGAATATATCGCGGAGTGTAATTCACGGTGTGTCGCGGATTGTACTCACGGACTGATTGATTGAGCGTCTGACCAGCCGGTATATATATATCCGCGTCGATTATCTAGAACATTCTCGAAACGAAATATTTATTGCATATTCTAGAACATGGGATTTCCCCTTATCCACCGACAACATTGTAAACAACCCGGACGACTCGTGGCGCGTTGTTTACGTCACCACAATAATATTGCCCAACGGGATCGGTTGAACATAGTCCCGTGCATAATATCGTTATGTGTTTATAAAATATGCATATATTTGGTAATATCATATGTGTGTGCGGTTTTTTTCTGGAATAGAATATATCGTAGTCACATGCATATACTATATGTTTAATAATACGTATGCTACTGAAGTTTTTCACGACGTTTGAAATCACAGAATCGACAGCTTTCAAAACTCGACAGATATACATAAAATGTTTCATATATTTTCATTTTCATTGAATGGTTTTTATTTTTATTTTTTTGTAAAAGTCAACCGAGGTGCAGTGTCTTGGGAAATTATTTCGTTTGGTTTCAATTATTTTCTACGACCTAATACATGTATAATATTCCCTTACCGTATTTACACTATATTCACATTCGTTTTTCATTTAACAACATATTTGGAAATATTTTATAATTTAAATGTCATAAGACAATAAGTTTATGACGAATCATAATATTATGTCGGATAAGTGATTTACTAATGAATACATGTTCAAAGTTGTAATTGGAGGAAAGGTTAATCCATAATACTATCCAAGAAGTTTATAGCGTTTTCTCACTGTTTTTAACAAAATTATACTATGTTATAAATTATTAGTCTATATATTAATATTAAATTGTAATAATAAATATACTTATGAAAAAATAAATAAATGTTTATAAAATGAAAACATTTTTCGTTTAACTTCAAGATATCAATTCGTGTATAATATTATCCGTTGTATTATATTCTCTTACATTTTAAAACCGTTTTCCAAAAAATTCGATTAATATACAATAATTTGTAGTTCGGTTTTAAATTCACACGTATGAATGTGTGTGTGTGTGTGTGTTTGTGTATGTGTATGAAAGCGTGCTTCGAGCTTATCCCTTGTAAGCGCACTCTGTGGTCGACTACGGCTAACCTATCGATCGGAGCGAATATTGTCTTGGCACAAAAGGGTCAATCGGAGGAGTGTTTTGTAGTGTACCAAATCTACAAAAAACGAAAAATTCGTCAAAATAAATATTTATACATACATAAATACCAAAATACACACGTATGTGCTCACATACTCTCACGCACACACGTAATCATATATTTATTTTAAAAAAATTATAATATATAATATATTTTCATTAGGTGCATGATCGATTCAATTGAATTTTTATAGTTTTGTGTGACACATTTCACAATGTTAGTACAAGTATACTTGTATATATAAATATAGTATTGAATTATAACGTGCAAATTAATTGATCACGTACCATATTATTATATTCTTGGCTGTTTATAATTTTTAAGTGAGAATTGGGGAAATAATCGAAAATAGTTAATACATTCGGACTTATATTAAAATATTTACTTAATTATAATAATATTGATGACACATTTAATTATATTACTTGCACCTTTTCTGTATCATATAGTATTATTAAAATATTATAATTTTTATTTGTAAATGCGTTGGCATATCGTATTTTATGATTCTGTTAATTTTATTATAATTTTTGGATGTCAAGAAACATGAAACCTTTATTAGATATGAAGTTTAAATTTTTTCTTCTAATTTACAGATTGTGATGTAAATTGTGCCTATGTACTATATAGGATATACATACCATAGATTAATATAGTAAAATGGTGGTACATGTAATCAGATTAAATTAAAGAACTTTATTTTCTTTATAATAAGATTATACTCGTAAATATATATATATATGCAGGGTGGCCCAGTATGTTTTTCCGACGGAAATAACTATGTAAATATTTATTTACTTTTTAATTTTTTTATCAAAGTAATTTTATAGTAAGAGGACATTTGAAAAAGGTAATAAAATTTTTGTATTTTCATCTCTTAACCGGCTACAAAAAATAACATTTTAACTTTCAGTTTCTGTAAAATTACAAAATTGTCATTTTTATTGAACAAGATATTATGAACATAGAACAAGAAGAAACGTGTATATACTATAAATTTATTGAAATTAATCAGTATAAATTAAATAACTTCTATCTTTTCCTGATCGCATTGGTGGGATTTTTAACTTTACACATCTACTATTCTACACATCTACTACACATCTATTATTTACTTGGGTCAGATTATATTTACTATATCTTATTTAACTTATATTATTGAAAATGTTATAAATTATTTTTCTAAGCCAGTTAAGGGATGAAAATAAAAATTTGATATTATACGATTTATACGGCGCCTACTTTAAAATGAAACTAAAACGAAAAAATTAGAAAAAATAATTTTAACAATCTTATTTGAAATTCGCCACCATAAAATTTATTACTACTCTAAGTCTACGTATCTAAGTAAGTCCTGCTTTAATATTCAACAGTATTTA